TTATTTTTATTTTAATAGGAAAATTAAGAAAACATATATATGAAAATAAAAATGTATAAAAAAAATAATATATGTATATATGTAAAATATATGTTTAAAATTACAAAATCATACTTGACATACTTCTTTGGCCAGCCATCAGATTCTTTCTGAGAATACGAACTTGGCTGTTCATTTCCCCTACACCAAATATAAATAAATTAATCAATTTAATTTAATTTAATTTTGTTTTGTTTTGTTTTGTTTTGTTTTATTTTATTTATTTATTTATTTATTTATTTATTTTAAAGGCCACATATGTAGAGTGGCAGTATATTTAGCATATTAAATAGTATTCTGGTTGAATTAAACGTAATGAACTTAATAATTTATGGGATTTTGCCTTAACTACCGTATTCCTGAAACAGGATTCAGTTTTGTTTGTTTTTGTTTTTGTTTTGTTTTTCCTTCTATGGGAAGACCCCACAGGCCCAATTTTATTGTGTCCCCCCATTCCTCAAATCAAAGCTACGCCCTTGGGTCATCATATATTTCAAACTACATATATTTTTTTCATTTGAATATTTTTGTTTGGAATATATTTAATTGTATTAAATTAAATAAATATTGAGTTTAATTGCTACTGCTTCACACAGTAGCCTAATAGTCCATTTTTACACCAGAGTTGATGGTAATAATTAAAAACTAAATCAGTGTCCAGGTTTGATGAAGCCAGTGCACTTCCTCTTTGTTCCAGCCATGCCTGTACATCATCACCGTGTACAGTATGAGTGTGTTGTATAAGACAGGCGCACAGACCTGCGCACAGCCCAGACACACCACTAGATGACAGCACTGTCTCACCAATTAGCCTGTGAAAAATAGCAATATTCCCAACTCCATATCGCAAGGATGTGGACTGTCCCTTCCTGTTTTAGTGCCGAGAGAGCCACCGTACCGACTCACACCGGAGCAGGAATACGGGCACTCCGAACGCGATTATGTCTGGATCCTTACCGTGTCGGTCCAAAACACGGTGCTGCGTTTTCCATCGTGGGCTGTACAGGTTAATGTATTAGGGAGGGCTGTGATGTTATTCTACGGGTAGCTGGTAACATAGCAGGCCTGTTTATTGCGCTGCCAACCCTTGTTCCTTTCCTGTGTCAATGATTGTCCTCCCCTCACTCTCATGGCGGAGACTAAAATAATATATCACATAGACGAGGAGGAGACTCCTTATCTGGTCAAACTCTCCGTTTCTCCAGAGAAAGTCACCTTAGCGGATTTTAAAAATGTCCTCAACAATCGTCCGGTCAACAGCTACAAATTCTTCTTCAAATCCATGGACCAGGATTTTGGGTAAGTGGCCACCATAATTATTATTAGCCTGTTCGTCTGGCTCACTTGCTATTTATTAATGCAGTGTGTGTGAATGTGTATATGTGTGTGTGTGTGTGTGTGTGTGTAGGCTTTATAAATAAGCGTATTACAGGCCGTCATAGGCAACATTGTTACATGTGTGCAAACTACAGTGCCATGTCTGTTTCCATGCGCCTGGCACCTGCTCATTATTACTATCCTGTGCGCAGTGGAGGAGACACACGAGTGTTTGAAGTGATACCAGATCTGTCCAGAGCCCTAATGACGCAGCCCTGCATGCATTACACACAGCCAGACCCCTGCTCCCCTTATTAATGTCAACGTATTAACCCATGTTAGTGCCAATATATGAAGCATGTGGGGTATAAATGTGGGAGCAGTGTTGACAAAGCGTCCACATGTTCAAGTTCTCAGGTTTCATGTTGTTTTGTTTTGTGATTTTCACCATAGATCAGAAGAAATAACCATTTAACAATTATATATATATATATTTTAAAATGTTCTCCCTAATAGCCTGGGAAGTGTTCATTATTTACAGATGCACACACACACAATGGCCTGCAGGTGAATCCCAAGGGAATATGGCAACCACAAGCCGGTGGTTGTGACTGTTAGCTATGTAATCATGCAGCCACCTTTTTGCATTTAATTGCCCCAGAGGAGAGGATAAGGCAAACAGTGCTTCATCATCATAACCTTGTTTTTCTATTGAGTATTCTATTATAGACTGTGTTATAACAGTGATGCATTCAGGTGCAATAATGCTGTGTATGCTGCTCATCACACCCCACAGTCTGTGGCTAGTCTGTCAGGTGTTTAGAGACATGAGATGAGAGAAAGTAAATTAATTATTAAACCTAGAGTCATATTTTAACCTGATTATGTTACAGCATTAGTTATGGAACAAAATAGAAGATTCTAAGAAGAAGTTTTTGGACTAATTGCGTAGAATTTGTCTGTGCTGTAACTCATTTTATAATTTTTTATGCTGAATTTTACCTCACAGGAGCTACTTCCTCTAATCACTCCATGCAGGATTTAAGGAATAATAGAATCATTCCTTTCTCTTTCTCCTTTCTCTCTCTCTTCCTCTCTTTATAATCCCATCCTGATTTTCAGGAGTTACACCATGTCTACACAGCCCTTCAGCTCTCTTGGTCAGCGACTTGTCTCGGGCCTCTGCTGAGGATGACATATTTGTGTCAGGGCCTGTTTCTCATTCCAGTCTGAACAGTCATACACGGAGGCCCACACACACACACATTAATATCTAGCACTGTAATCGCAATCACGATTGGAGGAAATGCAGAGGCAGGCAGTGTCTATAGAGCCAAGCGTCACACATTTCCACTGCAGCCTGACCTTGTGAGGGAAACTGGCTCTTCCTGGTAGCAGGCTAGGCTTGGTGCGCCGCTTTGTCCCCCCATCCCCGGCTTCCTGCCTCTGTTGCACTGCGGGCCGGCCTGCTCTCTGGGCCTCAGGTAATCGACAAGCAGATTATGGAAACAAACAAAGCATGTTTGCTTTCTCCACATGGAGACGTGGCTCCGTGTTGCTGAACACAGCGGCTACAGTAGGCCAACCAGCTCCTGCATGTGCATCAACAAAGCGTGGTAAATGATGGCGTGAATTGGACATTGTTAAATGGCTGTGTATTCACACAGAGCTGTTATACACAGTTTATAAAGGCGTCTCCATCAGCATTCCAGCCTTTGAGTTAAGGTTGAATATTCAGGCTCAGTGAGTGCCGTATGGTACTGGCACAGTATGGAAGCAAACCCAGTCAAAGGCACAGAGGATAGCAGCGCTTTGTGGTAGCTATTCTGGCTGTACTGCATACACACAGACAGTATGGCTGCTGGAGAATTAGCTAGGGAGGAATAAGACTGCTGAGCAGAGAGGGAAAACATCAAATCCCTTGCAGTTATAGACAGTGTTTGAAATGTAAATGAGCAGTCAGTGCAAGGTCCTCTGTAGTAGACCCCCTGCTGTGCAGGAAAAACCAGCCATTTTCTTATGGGATTGCTGAACTACATTTGTGCTGGCAATATCAGCTCTCTAAGCAATGGCCACACGAATGTGATAAACGGCTTGCCCCCAAAACGCCTCAGCTTACCGCAGTGAACATGTCATTTCAGCTCCCCTTGGAACCGCATGGAATACATGTAACCACGGGCTGTGGCATTTCTGTCCACACAACAGAGCACAGCAAATTAAACGATGAACGTCTCTTTGTGCACATTTCATACCTCAGTTGTTTTTCTCCCCCCGTAATATTCATTCATTCATCAATATTCATAAGACAGGAAGCTTATTGAGGCTGTGTTGTTTTCAAGCAGCCCACTTGGCTTTTTCGCAGACTTCAAGGTGATGATATGGCGTTTTGTCATTGCCACTGGTGGTGAGTGGGTTTGAGACCTCACTATAATGCAAGTCACAGAGGCACTCTGGAGCTGAGGAAGCAGCCAAGCTGAAGCTCTGAAAGAAACAGTCTTGTTTGTGCTTTAGAAAATAGGGGGCTGGTAGGGGAATCTTTCTTCTGCTGAGGTAGGGGTGCTAAGCCCCTGTAGTTAGAGGACAAAAATCTGCAGCTTTTTGCACAAATGCACCCCTGCCTTACCTCGCCTGTTCTCGCTGTTTGAGGATTGTGGCAGATTTCGACGGCTATGCTGCATTTATGTGTCATAGCATTAACAACAGCACTTTGAATGTGATATTGATATCACTATCTGACAAGTGTGAGATAGTGACATAATGAACGGAAAACGACTTATAACATCTGAACATTGTTATTGTGATGCTGCGAAAATCAGATGGTTACAGGTCTAAATGTGACATCAGCAGCCTACATGCTATTATTAACAGGTTTCAAGGTGGTTCAAGTTGAATTTAGCTGTTTACCTTTTC